GCTTCAATCCCTCAAAAACCTCTTGACATTCACTTGTCCAACACCATTTATGCTTTTTTTTCAATAGCTATGTAAGGATCGTGATTCTACGAGAGTACCATTCCAGAAATCTCCTATTATAATTGATCAATCCCAAAAATGAGTGAAGTTCATTAACATTTTTTAGTGTTGCCCATTCTTTGATAGTCTTAACTTTTTTCATGTCCATTCAAATGTGACCTTGTTCAACAATGTGGCCTAAGAAGTAGATTTGTGTCTGAGTAAATGCAAATTTCTCCTTTTAAATATACAATTGGTGGTTTTATAGTTTTTAAAACACAAGACGCAGTTGCTCTTAGTGCTCTTCCAAAGTAAAACTATAAACCACTATATCATCTAAATAAATAACCATAAACTTATCAAGATAGTCATGGAACACCTGATTCATCAAGGTACAAAACGTGACAAGGGCATTAGTCAATCCAAAAGGCATAATAAGAAATTCAAATGTACATACTATATTACACATGTGGTTTTTGGCTCATTTTCTTTAGTAACTCTGATCTAATGATAGCTAAATCTTAAGTCCAATTTAGAGAAGTACTTAACCTGGCTCAGCTGATCTAATAAATCCACACTAAGTAGAATAGGATATTTGTTTCTCACAATGACTTTGTTCAGGGCCTTATAGTCCATACACAACCGTAAACTCCCATCATGCTTTTTTTTAAAATAACATGGGTGCCTCGAATGATGCTTTTGATGGTCTAATGAACCCGACTTATAAAAACTCATTAAATTGTTTTCTCAATTCAGTCAACTTTGGATGAGCCATACGATATAGGGCTTTAGCTGGTGGTTTAACTATTTGTAGAAGTTTAATCTCATGGTCCATCGATCTTCGAGAAAGTAGGACCTTATATAATTACTCTAGCATCATATTCTCAAACTCTTCCAATACTTTTTTCATCCCATCAGGTATCAGTTCCACTTTGATCTCTTCTTTGTAAATTGACATGGCCACATATGAGGGCTCTCTTTTTTTTACCCTTTTCTTGAATTGTAATGCTGAAATCATTTTTTTTCACTCTTAAGAAAGATCGTGGCTAACACAACACACGAGCGTTCCCTTAAGAACAATAGAAAACTAGCAGTAATGATTGGGATCACTTAAGCCAACATCATGAAGTCCAATCTTAAGACAACACCAAAGTCATCATGAGGGAAACTGTGAAGTCTACATTTTTTTTTATGACCCCGACTTGGTCATTACACTTTTGGAGCTTTCACTGATCATAAAGGCTGGTGAATTAATTGCTTTCATTTATCCACAGTCCTTATTAACCTTAAGACCATACTTTTTTGCTTCTTCTGGTATGATGAAGGTATCGATTGCGCCTGTATCTACTATGACCTTTATGGCCTTCCCATTAAGTACCAAGTCCATATACATTAGACCTCTCTCAGGTTTTTTCTTTATCATATTTAGTTTGGTACGAAAGGCATTAAGGTATTATATTAAGCCCATCTTGGCTAGCTCCTCTTCAATTTCTTCGACTGTTTTAGACGTTTTAATGAACTTTTAAGACGAGGCTTTTAGAGCATTAAGAGTACCTCTATGTGGGCATTCGATCACCCGATACGACTCCTAGCATAAGAAGCAAGCTAATGGTTGTTTCAGCTTAAAATTTGATGCATTATTTACCTTAGGTTGGGTATTATTTCGATCAGAAGGCCTCCTATCTGATCTCCTACTGAAGGGTTAGTCCACTCTGGCTATCTTTCTTCCACTTCCAAAGTTGGAGTTACTACCACCTGATGGAAGATTTTTCGTTTTGAGGGACCATCATTATAATCATAAAGACATTCTATAGTAGCCATAATCGTGGTCACATCTTGCACCTTCTATCATTGTAATTTCATCATGGCTTAAGGTTTGAGACCCTCAAGAAAATAGAACATCTTGTCCTTTTCGAACATGTCTCTAATGTTCAACATCAGGGTAGAAAAGCTCCTTACAAACTCTCACACCGTTTTTGTTTGCACAAATTTTTGAAGCTTTCTTCAGGTCATATACTTCACATTTTTATGAAAAACTGGTTATTCAATTCTTGCTTAAGATCTACCCAAGTTTTAATAAGGCATTCATCATTTACAAATTTTGAATGCCACCATAGCTTAGCATCCACGGTAAGTTACATTAAAGCCATTGCAACCTTATCTTCTTTTAATTTTGTGTGCACAGCATGAAAGTGTTGTTTCATGTCAAACAAAAAGTTTTCAAGCCTTTTGGCATCTTTTGTGCCCTCATAACATCAAAGCTCCGACACCTTGGCCTTTTTTCCTTTTTTCCATTGAGCTAAAACTCGACCTAGCCATAACCATTTGTAGAACACTCATTTGGGCCCTAAGCTCCTCAAACTCTCTCTAGATGACATTCAAAGCATCTCTAATCTCTTCGCCCAAGCTATCGAACAACTCTCATTGGATTGTCTCGATCTCTTTCAGTCGATCATGAGTTACCACATGAGCTTTTAAGGCAACCATAACGGCGTCAAGCTCCTCAATCCTCTATTGGTCACTAAATCCATCACTCATAGCCATTTTATCAATTCTCTAGCACTTCTCAACCGTGCTCTAATACCACATGTCACGAGCTAAACTTTCTCTCAATAAAGCAATAGACCGTGCAGTACTTGAATGGACGTTTATACATAACTCAACCAAGAATAGTTTGATATCTAAACAAGTAACCAATAAGACACAAGTTAATCTCAAGCATACATAATGATATATTAAGGTAAAATGGAAGCACACCAAGACGACCCCCGATGTTCTTGTATATAAAAAATATTTTATTAATATAAAAAATAGTATATTAAGTCTTCCCACCATCATCGGGGCTGCCGTAGATTGATGGTTTAGTATATACCTTAAATAGTGAGGTAGCCTAATAATACGCCGACTGCTCACTCCCTCTAAAGAGCTAATGAGATTTTATAGCTATGCTACCAAAAATCATTACAATGTTTGAAATAGGGATAATTTTTCCTAGCACATGAGATCTACCTTCCTTTTTGGTACCTCTACCTAGTCATGGGCCTATACAAGGTTGGCTCATGATAGGTTGTGTAATTTTGCCTTGCCATTCTTTCTCGGATTGTCATAGCTTGCCATAGTATAATTTAATTGTTCTCCCTAAAACCTTTTTTTTTTTTAAATGAAGAAAAGAATAAGATATTCTATAATGAAGTCCTATCAATTGAGGAAAGAAAAAATTTATAATGAATCATATGATTAAATTAATTATCTTTTAATTGATAAGCAATTAAGGCATTTTTAATAGTAAATATCATATTTGATAAAAATTTCCAACCAATTACAGCATTCACTGTCTAAAACACCTTAATTGACCTGAGCAAATAAGCTGTTCAATCCCAAAAACATTTTAATTAATTATGTATTCAAAACATTATGAAATGTATCAATTAAGGCATTCAAAGTAATAAATGCCTTAATTTATAATGTTTTAAACGATAGAAAATTGCAAATAAGGCGTTCATGTTAACAAACATCTTATTTGATGATGTTATATAAATTATAAAACTAATAATTAAGGTGATCATATAAACCAAACACCTTAATTGATAATATTTTATAAATTAAGACAACAGTCAAGTAAAATATTTAATTTTTTTATGACTAAATGCATAACTTATCGTTTAGATATTTATCATTAATAAAACAAAATGAAATATTACCTTAAGCTTGTCAAGAAGATTATGATAATTATACAAGAATTAATAAACGTATATTTTCTTCAACCAAATGAGTGAATATAAATACGAGATGTTTCTAAAATCAAACAAAACCCCGGATATCGTACTTTCTCAAATATCAAACTTTCTTTCGGAATCTAAGATTTTACAAACCAAATGTCCCATAAATACTAACTTTTGTCAACTTTTTCTATTTTATGATTTTTTTTTTCATTTTATGTTATTTTAAAGTTTTTTACGTAAGAGTTTTCAAATGATTTATTTTTTATAAAATTAATTTTTATTTTTATTTTTTAAATAAAATTATTATTGGATATAAAAATGATTTAATGATTCTTTTTAATTATTTATTAATTTCTTAAATATTAAATAATTTATAATTTTTAATCTAATGTTTTTAATAATCATTTTCTTACTATAATAAATCTCACTGCTATTATTGCTTTTATATCCAAATATATATTTCTCCATTAATTTTAATCTTATCTTTAGAGTACCTAATCTAATCACTACAATAATCAAATTCACTTTTGCTATAATTTTCAATCTCTCTATAACTAATATACTACCTATCCAAATGAACTCTAAATCTAAATAGACATTTGAAAATTGTGCAATGCGATCGGCTTGTTTTTCATTGTAACTGCATCTTCAATAATCTTAAAATCCATTTGGATAGTCAGTAAAATTGAGTTATGTGAAATTAAAAACGATGATAAAGATAAAATTAATTATTGTAACACTGAAATTGATCAATGTAATAATGAAAGTAAAATCAATAGTAAAATATATGTTTAAATATAAAGCCATGGTAACAATAAGATAAATTGTAATGAAATACTAAATGGTCATTAAAAATATTAAATTAAAAAGTGTATATAATAAAATTTTAAATTATTTAATATTTATAAAATTAATAAATAAATTTTAAATTATTAAATTATTTTTATGTTAAATAATAATTTTATTAATAAATAATTAAAATTTAAAAAATTGATCTCGTAATAAAAATCATTTCAAATATTTTGAGTAATAAAATTTAAAAGCAAAACAAAATGAAAAAAAAAAAAAATGAAGGTTTCCGAGGACCAAATAATACTCTCTACATTCTAATGCATGAAATAAGAGCAAAAGCACAAGCAAACTGCATTTGATTAAGGAACACAAAATCCTAGATGAAGGCAACAACCCTGTACCATCGCATGAGAGCGTAGTAGAAATCAGGGTAAGAAAACTGCAGCATAGCAGAAAAGGGCCCTGTAATACATTTCTCTCGAACAATTGGACAACAGTAAAAGTGTAAACTTAACTTACTAATATTGAAATATGCTACATTCAAATAAACTTAAAGAGATGGCATTTTCTCACATGCTTACTTGCGATCCCACATCGAATTGTTGGTCACCCCTTGCTTCATTACATCTCTCATGTGATTGAAGTTATTGCAGGATCCTACCTACTCACTTTCATCATCACTTTCCTGCAAATTCAAATGGTTCATATTCCTTTCAAGAGGAGGAAGCCCATCTTCAGAATCATTGGAAGAACCCTCATCTTCACTGATGTCTGCTCATATAGCAGCAGAAGGAAAAAAGCAATATCAGGCCACTCTTACAATGTGAATATTATCAATGTGTAGATTGAATTCTCGATTTAATGAAATTGTAAGTAATTAAATCACTGTCAGGTGATAATGAAACTGTTTTCAGCATAAAATAACTACCAGATAGACTTCCTGTTAAAATACTAGATCATAGGCCCAGGGTTAATTTGGATGAATAGCAACTTAGAGAAGGCAATATGGTGTGTGCTGTGAAAGGGAAAGGGGACACAGGATCGTCTGCAAAAAAGTATATTTGATCATTTGAAGCAGCAGAAAGTACTAGTAATTCAGCTGGTGTAAACCAAAGATCAGAAATGGCAACAACCACAAATGACATTGTTTCTGGGAATCAAAAGTTGTTTAAGCATTAGTTCAGGCCAAAATGACATATTGACACTTATGGTAGTTTCAACAAGTTCTAGAAAGGCCCCTATTAGGAATATGTGAAAAAATGGAGAACATTTGTGTCAAAAGAGGGAAGTGAAAACCAAACAAGACATAGGTGGAAACTATCAAAAGGGCCTTGCTTTTAAACAACTTGCTCAAGTTATGGTCCTAAACATAGCAGAATGGCATAATAGGAACCACTTTAGCCAGCCCCATGTGGTAGAAGGCATTAGTTGCCACTGTGGTAGTCATCATCCTATATTCCTATTATCAGTCCCACAAAATTTTGCAGACATTGCTTAATGGTTATGACATGGAAAAGGAGAATTTTTGTTTCTTAGAAACTGCAAAAGTAGATTTACCTTCTGTATCTTCCAGAACCTTTGGAACCTGACTTTGTTGGGAAAGCCAAGAATTTTGGACTGATATGATATCGGCACTATTTTCACATTCAGAATATGCCTTCAAAAGTTCCCTACACCAATCAAACACGCTGACAATTTGAGAACATACGTCAAGAAGAATGTCAATCTATCATGGAAATGAGATGATTCTTTTTTAAATAATGTTGCCCGAAATTGATATGAATTTAATACCCTTAGCAATAAGTACATGCTAAGGATGCTTTCTAAAATAGTTTTCAGATAAGCTTAGTTATGGTTCTGTAACTTCTTTACTGGTGGTTCGGCCTTATTTTCAGATCAGTGTCAAAGCTCCAAATACATTCAAACCACCCATAGATTTATAAACTTGCCTTATAGCTAACCAAAAACCCAAATAAACCCACATTCCCATGAATTTGAGACCAAGTACTGGACACCAAACACAATAGATGGAATCAAAAGCATGAATTACCATCTCTCTTAACTCCATGAGAAAAAAAAATAAAAAATAAATTGAATCCATGGTATGCTTGTAATTGAAGGGGGACTTCAACATGATCAGATAGCTTTAATAAAATACAGGCCATAGATTCATGCATTTTGGGTATAATGATTAAAAAAATAATTATTAGAGACTGCTAGTTCAATCTTCGAACATAGTAACATCTTTTCAGCAGTATTTGAGTTTTATTTGATGTTTTCCATCTTGACTATGGATCATGCCTTTCAAGAAATTTAGAACATTTTCAGGCCAAAAAGAAAATAATAAAGTACCTGTTGAGGGACAAGAAGGCATGACCCCACTTGAATTTGCCTAATAACATATTTGCCGTTTCCTCTTCCCCACTGTTAAAACAACGTAAAGGAACAAAAAGTCAGAAGATTGGCTCAGTAAGCATATCTGACTCTCATTGACATATTTTCTTCAAAATATGCTTTGACGGACCAAAGCATGCCAGACTAATCTTACTTAAGCTTGGAAACAATGCCAAAGCTGTATGTGCAGAATGTATCCTTAATTCTACAAAATTCAAAAGTTTGAAAATGATGCCAAAACCCCATCGGTTTTCATATAGCTGGAAAGCAGCATGACTGGTACAAACCAAAATGGCTATATCTAACAGATGTTACCAACATACAAGTGCAGATACACAAATTTCTATTTAGGTTAAAGAATAAGCTTTGAATATTAATTTTATAAAATTCAATCCATACTCACTACAGCTAGCATGCCACATCTCTCCAAACAGATTTAAATCACAATATTCACCATTCTAAAACATAAACAGAGCTTGCAGCTGTCAGAGCATGCACATGTAAAAGAAACAAAATGATTGAAAACATATTCTCAATTTGGCATGACAACAGCTAGATTGTGGAAACCATTGCATATGGAGATTGGAAAAGAAGTTAAGTACCATATCAGTAAAGCTGCAGATAACGCTTCTACGCATGATAGCTCACACGGTCGACCATAATTTACTGGGTTTGCAGCCACTAGCCATGGCACTGCAATTCCGGCAAACTCATCAAATTCATAAAACAGGACAATTGAATCACTTGCAGATGTCAAACAATATGTAAGTATACTTTAATTTTAATGTAAGAAAGTAAACTAAGTGAATAGTAAAAATATGATATAATAAGCATAGGATGAAGCATTATTAATTTCAAGTTGTCATTTAAATTTTGTTATCATATGTGATGCAAGTGAAAAGTAATTGAGTTCATATACAAGTATTAACTGTGTATGACTTGATAATAGGTCAACAGAATAATAGTGAATAAACACTTGAAAACATGTCTCCTCTGGGTAAAAAAAAGAATAAAATAAAATTACAAACAAAACATACATCTAGCTTATATGCCACAAAGCCCTAAAATTATTAATATTAAAACATCGTCAAACGCCTCAAGGACTGAAATTCAAAAACAGTGCAAGAACAATGACATAAACTTGCCTATATGTCACAAAATCAACCTACTTGAATTTTTCAATCAAGAAATAACTCATGGCTTGTTGGTATGACACGATAAGAATAGATCATTGGGGAGCTGTTAATGTTGACATAAATGACAAGGCTGAGCCAATTATTTCATGAGTTTAGAAAAAGTTAGCATTTGGCCACATGTTGACTTAAGACACAAATTTGATAAATTCAAAACTGAAGACATTATATAGATCTCCAGTCATTGGGGATAATAACTGTGTACTGGCAGTAATTAGTGGGATGACAATATATGAGGATGAAACAAGTACTAATAGATTGCTGAGGCAAAAAAGCCTAACCTGTATGTTAGAAAAGATGCAGCATCTATCTACATTCATATAGCAAGCAATTGAAAAGTTAATCTACATTCATATGGCAAGAAATTGAAAAGTTAATATTCATACACAAGCGAGGGGCACCACACCGCAGCTTCACAAAGGGCACATCATTCAAGCGTGCCCATGAGCAATCTACAACAGCTAATCCTTTCCTCTTCATTAAGTTGTAATCTTCTTTTGAGACACACTGACTACCAACAGGACTGCAAACAGAGTTTTAAAGCAGATAATAAGATGACTTTGGAAGTCAAAGCAAAGCATGAAGAGGCCAAACACACAAGCTTGCAAAAACTCCTTGATAAAAGTTATAGCAGATATTCTGGCAGCTTGCTTTCAAACATAAATCAGAACTATTCTTAGACACATCATCAGTCTTGCATTGGCGTTGGGGTAAATATTAGTATGAAAGAACAAATATGAGGAGATACTTTTTGAGACAATGAGATAGACCATAAACATAGTAAAAGCAAATTTGAAATGTTCTTGAAAGTAACACTGAGCATTTGGCTTAATGGTAGGTCCATGTCTCTCCCCCTGCTCAAAAAGTTGGGTTTGCATCCCCTTCCCAAAAAAAAAAAAAAGTTGTTGAAAGTACCTTAAAACAATGCCCCCAAAACCACTATTCACCCGCAAGTCCTGTGTGAAGTCATTCAATGCAACATATTAGAAGGAAGTGAAGATGCCCATATACTCCAACATGAATGAATTAATTGATTGATATTATATAGAGACTAAATTACACTTACTACTATTCTCTAAATTGATCACTGGAAAATGGTGAATCATTTGACTGGTTATTGATGCAAGATTCTAAAATCAACAAATAGCCTGATCACAGTTTAAGAATATTTTGACTCTTTCCAAGTTCCCAAAAGTGAAAGGTGAAATTTCATTTTCCTTAAGCATAAGTTTACAATCACTTATAAGGGAAGAAACTATCCGGATCAGATGACTTAGCTAAACAGTAGTCTTTATCCCTTGAACCAAGAGTCCACAACCGCCAACAATTCTATGTTGATTTTTCCTTCTTTTTTTTTCCCTTTCCTACAAGCCAATAGCAGTTGCCTTGGAAATTTCCTCTTCCTCCTTTTGATATATAAAAGTTTGAACATCTTATTGCTCAAAATAGATTTGAAAATAATGCCACAAAAACCCATTGAGAGGCTAATTGGTAAGCCGATTTCACATCCATAGTCTCTAACTTATCCTTCACAGTCACTTATTTCAACATTGGGTATGATACATTTCTTTTGAAAATCAACTACAAAACAATTTTTGCATGACAACTTCTACAGAGAGAAAAGCACATCAGACATGACATAAATAATATAAACTCAAACATGCATAAACAAATTAAATTCGAGGGGAATTTTGTATAGCAGATACTTTCTTTCAACAACCCAAATCTTGCAAGTTTGCGCCCAGTGCACCTTTTTGCATCACACTGTCCAAAATCCTGAGTCAACAACATCAAAACAATGATGGTAATTGATGCAAACAACCATTAAAAAAAGAAAAGAAAAAGGCCAACACCATTTTAGATCAATTTTTATCACGATAATAAGCAAAACCCAAGAATGGTTAAAAATGAAAACTCAAGATCACAATAACTTGACATTGCTAGGCAATTAGCATTTTGATAGACAATGATTCCTGAGCAATTTAGAACAATGGAAGTCATCTATCCATAGAAGCCACATTTTGAGAAAAAGGCCAATTATTTTTTAAAAAAGAAAGAGCAAGTTAAAGATGTCATCCAGGATTTGATCAACCAAAAGTTTCCCAGCACAAATTCTATCAACACATAACAATTTCAATAACAGCTAGCAAAAAAGAAAAATGAAAATATATTATTAAGGGGAAAACGTAGCAGAAAAAAATACACACCCACATAGCAAGTTGAATTTTAGGAACATTTGGGTCCTCTTCAGGAGCTGCAACCGGAGAAGAAAAAAAAAAGTAATTACCACAGCGGCAAAACATCAAACACCTGACATATCCAAACAAAAATTATAGAAAAAGAGAGATCAAGGGAAGTAATTAAAAAGTGGTTATGGAACTGTACGTTGATCATGTGGGAGAGAATCATCTTCCCTGGAAAAGCAGAGCAAAAAGAAAAATGTCTTAGAAGATGGGTTAAAGTAGAAATGATTTAAAAGTGAATTGGAAAACGGGAATGGTTTGAAAATTACCTTTGGAATTGACGGTTTCTGCTTGACTGTCCCCGAAGAGAGTTATGGGTTTTGAAACGCCGGGGCTTGTTGTGACCCATTCCTTCTTTGTTCGTATTTTAGCACTGAAACAACTGAAAATCGGCGAGAAAGAGTGGTGATTGCCGCGCTTTGACTTTTTGATTTGGTTCGGCGTGGCGGATCGGTGAAGGCGGCCGCTTTTACTAGTTCTCCAGGCGCCCGTGGCAGAAAAAAAAGGAGACAACTAAAGACAGTGTACAAAATTTTGAAATAAAAATTGACGTAATTAAGCTCGATAATTTCATTCTCAATCTAATCGATAATTTTTCTGTTAAAAAGTTATGCTGAAAAAATATTATTGAACTGCTTAGAGTACAAAATTATAATAAGATAAAATAAAAAAAATTATAAATATGATAAAATTAAATAATATTTTTATATTTGATAAGTGTAAAAATTAAGATAAGATAAATTTATTTATTAGTAAAAAATTATTCTTTTTCAAAGTTTATATAATTTAAATTATTGATATAATTTTTAAGAGTATAATAAAATATGTAAGTTCAATCTTATAAATTAAAAATAATCTTCTCTATTTTGAGAGGATTAAATTATCTTATGCCAAAAGAATTATTAATCTTTGGTGCAATCCTATCATTTTTTATATCTAAATTAAATATTATATAAAATAATTATCATCCTATCATACCCATCATCTTATATACTAAACATTACTTTAATATAAAATTATTAAATATTGTGCATTAAAAATATATTTGATACATAATATTATGATAGAATAAGATAAAATAATATTATAATTAGGATTAGATTAAATAATATTATCCTATTTTATATTTAATGTGTAATAGATAATTTATTTATTGGTCAAAATTATCTTTTCTCAAAATTTATACAATTTAAATTATTGATATAATTTTTAAGAGTATAATAGTACATGTAAATTTAATATTGTGGATTAAAAATAAGTTTTTTTAATTTAGAATGATTGAATCATCTTATACAAAGAGATTGAATAATCCTTATTATACTCATATTCTTTTTTAAAAAATATAAATCAAACATAATATTAGATGATTATCATCTTATCTTATTTATCATCTTATATACCAAACATTACTTAAAGGTTTTAGGTTTTAAGGAAGGTAAATAATGTGACATATATTTTTAGATATATTAAATTAAAAAATTAATTAATTAAAAAAATTAAATGTGTCAATTTTTTAATCTCATTTATAGAGTTAAAAAATTTTAGTAACAATAAATCAAAGAAATTTTTAATTTTTTAGACTTTAATTGAGGTTAATAGTGTGACACATATTCTTATGATTTATTAAAAAAAATAATTGAATATATATAAATTTTTATCATTGTTTGTAAAATTAAAAATTTTTATTATGTATTAAATAATTTTTAATTTTTAAACTTTAAAGGAAGTTAATAGTTTTACATATATTCTTATGATATATTAAAAAAATAAATATGTATCAATTTTTTTAAACTCTGTGATGAAATTCAAAAATTTCAATGATAGTGTATCAAATATTTTTTTTATTTTTTTAGTTTTTATTATTATTAATTTTTTTCATTTTTACTTTTTTGGAGATATTGTTATTTATAACAATATATTATAATTAATTTTTTTATTATTTTTAATTAAGACCCAAATTAAAGCTTCGATTAATTGGCATTTGATTGCCAATTAAGATATTTTTTAATTTTAAAAAATACAATATATAAAATCCTCAAAAATTACAAAAAAAAAAAAAATATCACCAAAATCTCAATGAAAAAATAAATAAAAACTTGCACTAATTAATGTCATAATGTATAGATCCGTAGACCTACCGTTAGATATCGATTAGATGAGTCACAATCAATCCTTTTTGTTTATGTATAATTGATCACCTGATCGAATCTGTTCCTTTTAAATAGAAGTCCCAAGATTGACTTAGATATCTTTAAATAGTATATTCTAATTCACGAAATCATATTTAGGTTCAGGATTACGGTTACGTGTAAGGAAGATTATAGCACCCTTACAGCGCCTATTAAAAGATGGTACCAGTTTAATTTCAAATTATCTAAACCTTAAATATGTTTATATTTACAAAAATATTTAATATTAAAAATTAATCTTAAAATTATCTCAATAGTTTTAGTAGCAATTTAAGATAATTCTTTCAAATCAAGAGTATTCATGGAGACTAGTATCCCATTTTGAAGAAACTTTGTCGTCAGATTTATTAATGTATTTTATTTAAAAAAATTAGTAAAGTCCTCTAATAGTTTTGTAAGATTTACTTTAAGGCAGATCTTTCAATAGTTTGGTGAGATTTTATTTAAAATATATTTATAAAATTTTATTTTTTTTGAAAAATTCATTAAATCTTCCAATAGTTTAGTAAGACTTAATTTAAGAAGTAATCCTCCAATAATTTGGTAAAATAAAAATATTTCTCTTGAAAACTGATTTATGAAATTTTTCAATAGTTTGGTGGGTTCCATAAAATTTAAATCCATGAAAACCTTTTAATAGTTTGACGGATTCATGAATTTATTTGAAAATATTTTTTATTTTTATTTTTTTACTATTTTCTTCATTAAGAATTTTCAAAAAATATTTAATAAATATTAAGTTACTAAATAAAAATAAATAAATAATAAAAAAAAAATAAAATGAATGAAAAAAACTAAAAATAAAATAAAAAACTTAAAGTATAAAAATAAATAAAAATTAAAATCAAAAATTAAAATTAAAATAGAAAAAAAACCTACGATCGATTAGGTCGAACCACAGGTGGTGCGTGGATCCTATTCAGGCTATATGCGGATCTACCTACTCAGAAACGACATTATTTTAGAAGGCTAAAAAAGCTAAGTCTTACATTTTCCCTTCAGAAGTCCCAGTCTCCTCTCTCTCTAGCTTTAAATGCTCTGACATCTCTTTAGAAAAATCAAGAACATTCAACCAGAAATTGAAAATTTTTGTCAATTTTTGGAAAAGTTATCGGAATCCCACTGAAAATTTCAAATCTCACTGAAAAACTCAATCGAAAAGTTCAAAAATTCATCCCCAAACCTTGATTTTCCTAGATTTTTCCACAATTCTTCAAAATTTTCCAAAAATCCAACCTGGGTCCCTGAAATCCAAAATTTCAATCCCAACGTCCTAGAACAAAAACTAGAAATCCAAACCCCTCCCAATCATCAAAATCTTAAATCTAGAAACTCCAAAAACCAAAGTCTCAAAAACCTAGTGCCCAAAAAAGTTTTTAGAACACCAAGTTCACCCTTCTTAAAAAATCAACCGTGTGTTATTCAACTGGTCCTTTGTTCAATTTATAATCACCCTTAGGAGAGTTTGTAGGGATCGGATAGAACCAACCTGGCTTGAATCTTAGGATTGGATTCTACCCAAACTTGATATTAGGTCTAAATTCTTGTTGATTTTTCTGAATTGAACAGAAAATCATTTGATTTGGTTCTGGTTGACTATACAGACTTGATTCCCTTGATTCAGCTAATTGTAAATTCAGTTTCCTAATTCTCGTTATCGATTGAATGAAAGGAAGGAGAGAAAAAATAAAATAAAAAGAAAAAAGTAATGATAATAATAATAATAATAATAATATATAATATAATAAAATATAATCACAATATAATATAATATACTATAATAATATACTATAATATACTATACTAATAAACTATACTATAATAATAATATAATATAATATAATAATAATCACACTATAACATAATATACTATACTATAGTAACATAATACTAGTAATCAAATTGGCCGGTAGATCCCAAACACATATGGGTATCTACAGTTACTTCTCTTTGCACATCCTTGTTATACAAGGATGATACAAAGACCTAGACATCCACTCTATGTCGGTCCAAAAATAAAAGTCAAATTAGTAAGCAGAAATGACTAGGACTGAGCTGTAAATCTAAAAAATGATCTAGACTGAGTCGAGACCAAATGATTGATATTGGAAAATGATTTGAACTAGGCCAAAATTAAACGACTAGGATTGAACCACAAGTCACAAAAAATGATCTGGACTAAGCCAGAATCAAATGATCGGGATTGAACTACAAGTTAAGAAAATAATCTGGATCGAGCCAAGATCGAATGACTAAGATTAAACCATAAGTTTGGAAAATGATTTGGACTGAGCCAAGATCGAGCGACTAGGATTGAACCACAAGTTTGAAAAATGATCTAGACTAAGCCGAAATCGAATGACCAAGATTGAACCATAAGTCTGAAAAATGATCTAGATTGAGCCTAAGATCGAGCAACCGGGATTGAACCATAATTCTAAAAAATAATCTGCACTGAGCCGAGATTGGAAATAAGAGATAAGTGATAATGCAATGATGCAAATGCATGTCATAACTAGGATGCAATGTAAACACAATGTATGCAGGGCAAATGCCATGAAATCCTAATTGAGGTAACAAAGTTCTCAAGACTTCACCATTCTTTCTTAGCTTCTCAATATTAACAATCTCAGAACAAATTGTCAACTAATCCATATCATTATCCTCATTTGCTCATAACTCATAGGTCATGCCAATCGATCCATCATTATATTCATCGTCGGATCACCTTGTTTGCCCTTTTTAAAACATTTTCTCAAGCTTTTTTCACTCATTTCATCTTGGATTTCTTTCAAAAGAATGAAAAATATTTTAAAAATAGTATCATCCATTTATTTACCATCATTTAAATTAGTGACAGATATGATACTTTTCCTTGATTCATTTAAGGGATGTAAATTTGATAAAGGATAAAAAAAAATGGGTCTTTATTATTAAGAATAAATATTGTCAATAACAAATCAAAATTGAATAAAGGCAAAATATTTTCATTATTCAAATGGCATATCAACATCCAAAATAATGATTATTTAGACAATTTTGAACTCCAACTCAGAATTCTCTTTCAAAAACATATTCCATCAATATCCTCAATCATTAAGCCATAATCCTCATTCCTGAGGCCCTCACATGAAGTTATTTTTCTAAGTTTTCATTTTTACTTAAATTGCCCTTTTGGGTTTTTAGTTTAAGTTTCCCTTTTTCTCCTTTCTTTTTTTTTTATTTTTCATTTTTGTTTTTAATTTTTTATTTTTTTTGCATGCCTTTTTCTCATTTTTTCTTTTCATTTCTCTTTCCCTTTTATCCATCAGTGACATTTTGATTAAAGTCCTAAATAATTCAGTGGCAAATCTACCTTAATTCAATTCATGATTCCCCAATTCGAGTACTCACATTCAAGTAAAATGAACTTTTAAGAGATGTAATGTAG